GTAAGCGTCCGTTCAAATGTAGTGGAGTAAAGAGTACATATATTCAGTCACAAATGTAGTGGAGTAGAGAGTAAAAGTTGCTTATATTTTTGATACTCAGTATAAGTACAAAGTAGGCAAAAAAATACTTAAGTACAGTAACGAAGTCCATTTACTCAAGTACTTTACACCACTGGTTATAGTGAAAGTCGTCCTACAAAATAACCCTTCTCTCTCTCGTCTCCCTCAAACCATCCACGTTTCTTTTCAAAGGTAAAGTGCAGGTTAATTTGTTTTATGTATTTTTAATTTATATTTTGTATTAACCATTTTATATTAATATTTTTGGGTTGTGGAACGAATCATCTGAGTTTCCATAATTTCTAATGGGAAAATTTGCTTTGATATACGAGTTCTTTGGATTACAAGCATGTTTCTGGAACGAATTATGCTCGCAATCCGAGGTTTTACTGTATTCGTTAATTTGTTTGTGAATAGCAAACTTTTAGGTTGTAACAATTGTACAACTATTGCGTAACTTTTTGGTGAGCAATGGCTAAAAAAATTATATAAAGTACAGTGTATTACCTGATACAGTATTTTCGATAAAATAGCAATATCACCAACAAGTGCTGCTACTACAGCAAATGCGAGGCTGACACTGAAGCGTAATTACCTTTTGTTTCCGCTCAGAGATGTGCCGTGTGACTCATTTCCTGGCACGTACAATTTATATTAGGTCAGCGTTCACGGTTCGACTTCTGATATTCAGATCGAGTTCTAGGTCAAACTGGTTTGTTCGACTTTCAAGAAATTCGAGTTCTAGTGAGTTTGAGAACTGAGGTGCCTCTGTATATAATTTCACTGGTGATCCTTTGATTCCATCTTGTGGATATATGGTGGAACTGACATAATTCAGTTACCTTTCCGAAATGTTCAGTTGCTATCCTTTTTATTGGGTTTATTCCAGAACCACGCCCACAGAGAAGCATACTGGACTGGATAGGGCCTAGACTGCCTACTGTTTGGTTGTTGTACTGTAACCAGCATTACGGAGTAAACAACTTAAAACCACTCGGTTGTGTTAATTAGAGTTAGGTTCTGGGGTAATGAATTTTGCCAACGTCAGGTTTGCTTCTTTACAAGGAAAAATATAAGGCCTGTTGATATTTCATCATTAAAGAATTTCTATGATACGTAATTATATAAATTCTGATGCTGAAATCTTTCTTAATATTGACATGGTTAGGAAGTTCCCGGAGAAGGTTGGTATCAATTTCAACCAATTCAAGACTTTTCAAAAAAGATTATTTAGCAGGACGAGTTATCGGGGTTTCTTACATTTTGCACGCTATTGAAATATACAAATATTTGTTTGAAAAACTCACCTTTTCCAAACGACCTTCAACCGCTGCAGTTTTTACAGAGAGTGAAAGTAAAAGTACAATGGTAATTAAAATAAAGGAAAAAAAAAACTTTTCATAGGCGGGCAAAATTAACGAGTTAGAGTTTACTAGTCTGCAGTTTTGTACGATATATACGCCTATTTGTTTGACAAACTCACGTTTTCCAAATGAGCCACGAAACCTGCAGATTTACAGACAATTGTAAAAACGAAAGTATGACTTCAAAGCATTTTATATAGTCACAGATGACGGTGGCCACACCATAGTTCATGAATATTGAATATTGCAGCAATTCTCACAACAGGTGTGGTGCCCTAAACTGCCCCCCTGCCATGGCTTGCCTCCCCTGACGTCATCGCTCCTTCTATTCCTTCTATTCTTTTTTTTTCTTTTTCTTTTTGGTCCCCTGCCATGTCCGGCAGTTTAGCAAGCAGGATGTTAGTCTGGGTGCTTTATTGTGCCAACACTTTTATTTTGCCAAGTGGAGAGAAGAAAAAAAAGGGGGGGGTCAGAGAGAGAGAGAAAATCAGGGAGAGAAAAATAATACATGGCAACTTAAGAAAAAGTAGAGCAAAAGGAAAGAGTAATAAAAGGACAGCTTCTGCATCTTAGTGCTGGACATTGTATCATCACACCAGCTGCTGTATCTGGAAAATAAGATCCATAAAAAGTATACATACAAAGAAACCAGTGGTACCATTATAACAGAGAATAAGCTTGTGCCATATACAGATATACAAAGTAGCGTGGAAAATAGCAAAAAGACATTCCGGTATGACCAGGTATGATGTGTTTGTATAGGTATGTTGATATGTGCAGATA